AACATGATTTAGTTCCTGCCGTGGTCTCTGCGGTTGTAGGAGGCAGAGCACCTGCCTGACTTCCCACCTTCCCCAGAAGTGGTAGTAGATCAGCAGACTCACAAATCAATGTAACTCAAACTAGGTTTCAACCTCATTCCTCCTTCTGATACATATTTAGGAAAACTTTAAAAGTCTCCCTCTGAGCACCTAGCCCTTCTATACACCGCCTCCATTTTGACTTGATCCTTCAGTATAACAAATAAGGCGAAAGAGCAAAGGAGCCTTGCTTTCCTTCTTAGCTTTCCAGTGTTTGAGAGGATCATCCTGTTGCCATTGTTTTAGGCAAGTTGTTGTAACTTCATGTTTTTACCACCCACCAAAGAACAAAACAGGATTAAGTTTATATTAATAAATGATGTTCATGACTAGGTTTCCAAATGCCAGAGCTGTGATTTATTTTTTTAAATGGGTGGAGAAAGGAGAACGGCAATAAAATCAGCCCCTAAGTCACTCAAACTCCTTGGCTTCACACATCTGTGTGGTGATTTTATTTGTCTTTCTGATTTTTTTGCATGTACCTCTAAGTGTCCTTTAAGTTCTATTGTGAGGGATGATTTTGTTGGCCATTTACCTTTGTAGCTTAAAACTGTTTATTATAAATTTATAAGATTGTATGTTCCTCCTTCCTATGTGTTTACAATTGTCCTTATTTTTTCCTCCACCCCACTAAGAATTTCACAATAAAATTCTGCACCAAATAAATTAAAATCTCCAACTTCAGACACCCAAGAAGACATTAATCCATTTGGTAAAATACCCAGACCTCCCCCTCTCAATTTCAGCTCTTCTTAATGTAACATTTAGTAATTGCAGCTGGCTCCTTATCCTTTCCTCCCTCCCTTTCATTCTGAATCATATTGGCCTTGTTTAACCTTCATTTCCTTTCCTACCCCCCACATTTGTCCACGTACTTTTCTTTGACCATGTTTGTCTCTCTCCTCCTTTTTGCTGCGGGGATTGAAAGCAATAAATAGAGCTTTCTAAGAGCTAATACTTTATTACAATCCCATTCTTCCTCCGCATTCCACTACGAACGCTTTGTACGATTTTGATGCATCCTTCAGTTGTGCAGTTACTGCTCTGTATTTTTCTGATTGATCATTAAGTTATGCTGGCTTTTGAGAACTGCCTCCATAATCCTGAAGCAAAGGCTTCGTGCTTGGCATGCTCTGCCTTTGGAATGTCTTTCCTTGGCAAGGAGAGGCATTTCGGTTTGACTATGATTCTTAAGTTACGATTCAAGGCGAATTTGTTCAGTTAGGTTCCTGCTCTAAGCAGCTCTGCCCCTCCCTGTGAAGTGTTCCGTGAGGCTGCTCAGTGAAGGGTGTGTTGTGAGTGCAAGATGTAATATGCTTATATTGTACTTGATTATCAGTTTTCAAAAACAGCTGCATGCTTTGATATCTGCGTAAGGAAATATCGGAAGATAATATACCACTGGTATTTATTACTCTATAATTAAGGATGTGTCAGTGTTTCCCTTTTAAAAAACCCCTTTTATCAGAAATTCATATCTCAGGCATAAATTTCCCTATGAATTACAGTCTAATACCATATTAGAAGTATCTTCTTTGTAAGTTACCCCTCCCCTTCCTTTTCTTTCTGGGGAAATAGGTTTCAGGATGTAATTTCCGGGTGTCTACCAGGGATGAGGGGGAGCAGGCCCCGCGCTGTACAGGGTAAGGCGCTCCCGCCGCTGATGCCACCTGCCCCCTCTGCTCCTGGCCCTTGGCACCAGGCCACATCGTGGGGATGCATCTTGGATAAAGGGCCAGCCCGATCGCTCTGTGGATGAGCAACCTCATTGTCGCAAGCGATAGACAAGACTCAGCGGCTCAGCAACATCACAGGCGCCAGAGCCTGAAATTTCAGAACCAGGAATCAATTCTTGGACATTCTTCTCCCTTCGGTCACTTCAAGTCCAAACGGGGCCAGAGGTAACATGCATCTACGGTATGGTTCCGGCGGTTTACGGATCCAGGGCCTGCTGACAGGGAAGCAGGAGGAGGAAAGAGGTGGTGATGGAGAGACAGGCAGTCGGTCCTCTCTGCTAAGGGATGATCTGGACCCTCGAAGGGAGCGCAGCCTTCGGAAAGAGGCCGAGTTGTTGGCCGGCCTCTGCCGCCAGAGGACCCACAGCAGGGCAGTTTCTTCTCAGGCCCTAAGTCTCCCCACTTCTAAAATCGGGAGGTTAGAACAACAAATGCTTAGCGGGAGGGCAGGAAAGTTCCCTAAACGTAGAAATCCAGCAGCATTTAAAGAGCCCAGGGAGGGGTGGGGGCCTGCACTGGGGCAGAGACTGAATGCCTCCCCCCAGGCATGGTTGTAGTAATAATAAAAACGCTTAAAATATTGGCAGCACTACCCGGTCCCTCATGCCTCTATTACCGCTAACAATGTGGGCCACAAAGCAACCCCCCACTGTTCTTTGCACCCTCATGTCTAGTGGGGAGAGAAATAGAAGGCACCTCGGGGTCCACCTGAGTCATGCACACTGAACTTGGTGCTCCCTGGAAGGCACATGGGTGACAATGACAAGCAGGGAAAAGCCTATACAGTCTTTTTGTTTCTGTAACACAGTCTGGCTCCCTAAATATGCTGTTACATGATGCCTCAATTTTCTCAGTTGTGAAATAATGAAAACATCACATTTTTCAAATACACAAGACTTCAAATTCCTAGAGGAAGGTATTACACAAGTGTTCTATTAGAAGTCACATCTCCCTGCCCTCCGCCTTAGGTCTGCTATTTAAATGCACTAACTGATAGGACAGAAATATAAGCACTTTCTGATTCTGTCACAAGAATCACCAATTTCTCATGTCAGTTTAGGGTTGAAGTCATTACCACAGAGCAATGGGAGAGAACTGAGTCCCACAGATGATCACAGGTAATGGGAGGACCCCTGAAAACATGGGTCCCCAATTCCAATTTAGGAAAATGGGCTGCAGAGTGAGGGGGGATCCTGTCCGCTTAAGTCATGTGGACCACATGGGCAGCCAGGGCACCAGAAAGGTCCCGGGGAGAGCTTCCTTCCATGGGGTGGAGTGCAGCTAAGGGGCAGAGTTCATGATTTGCTTCTGTGTCTTGAAGAGGAAAGGGGACCGACACCCGCTGGGACGCGGGCCGTGTGGTCAGGAGGTCAGACGGCTCTGGCTCTGTGCTTGACCATCAGCCCTGCGGTTCTCAAGAAAAGAAGACTGGGTCATTTAACACCTTTCAGCTTCCTCTCATTATCCTTCAAAAGGCATTTTATAGAGCTCTAGTTTTCCATATTGTGTTTGTAATGTCACAGGCATTAGTTAGAAATGGTGATCAGCAGCCTGAGAGAAAGGAACCCCGGGAGAGTCAAGTCCGACTTTCTTAGTAGTTTGTTTCAGGGTCGAGGTTAAACCCTTGGGTTCTAGTGAGTGGAGAAGTCTTCTCATGCAAAATGGCAGTTAGGGCAATTTCTTTCACTGAGGGAAAATGGGTTTCTGACTTGATCTGTTGTTTAGAGTCAAGTAATGTTAAGGAAGGTAGGAAGCAAAAGTGACCAAAGTATGTATAGCTCCTATCAGTGGGCATATCCAATGACATTGAAGGTACAGAGTCACCAAATGGTACCAGTAAGTGTTTGTGTACATGACCCAGCTTATGGACAGACCTTAACCATACAGTAAACATGCCTCTCCCAATTACGTATCTGGTCTTTCCACCATCACTCCTCTGACTTAACCATTATGGCAAATTTACTGTAATTCTCATGTTTTTTTTCTGTACTTTAATCACATATGTACATGTCTTTGCACAGAATGTAGAATTGTTTGCATGTTTTTATGCTTTCCCAGTTACATTTTAATGAATAGCTTTGAAGGGAAGGTGTATTATAGAAGCATCAGTGGTCTTGTGTGTCAATTCAAATTTTAAAATGAAACATGTTCATTTTAGTGGTTTACTCTCTTCATTGTTACATATAAAATCTGATATTAAATATCACCAGTTTTCTGCTGAAACAGAGAGGCACTTAGAGCGATACCTGTCAACAGTCCATAGAAGAATAAAATATAAAATATGTCAACATTAAAAGACAGCATGGACTATCATTTGAAAACTGGTTCTATCACCCAGAGGAAGTATCTTGAGACTTAAATGAAAATTTTATTGTGGCTCATAATATTTCTGGGTAGCAGATGCTTTCTCAAAAACAGATTTTACTTTTAAAAATACCAAATATAATTAACACCTTCAACATAAAATGAAGTCTTTGCTTCCAGATGCATTTCAAGGTGTTGAAATAAATCTATGCAGCTTCCATTGGCTATGAGTTTCCATTGACTTACTGATTCTGCTGCCATCTTTATGTGGCATGACACCTATAGAGCAGGGCATTTAAACTTAGCTGCATTTGAATGTATTTGAACTTAACCAGGGGAATTTTCAGAAACGTCTTTGGACTTATTCCTGATCAACATGGTACAAATGAGTAGGTTAAGAACTAGGCACCCTGTTACTTATTACTGAAATACCTAGTCAGAAACAAAGTTTAGGGAAGTTCTGGCAAATGTCCTGGAAAATGTATAAAGATTTTGATAATGGGCAGACTTTTAAAGACATTTAAAATTAAAATTGGTTTAATGAGTTATCTTAAAAGAATAAAATAAACAGTGAGATGTTAAAAAAAAGAAAGATAAAATTTTCAACAGCAATATTTAAAATTAGAAGTAACAGTACTGTCTGATTTCCTTAGTGAAAATAAGGGAAACAAGATTAGAGTCAATTTGTATTCTCAGTTATCCTCTGACTTCAACAAAATATGGGTTGGTTTACTGAGCAACACTCCATTCCACCATATCACTGGTATTGAGAAGCACACATATACACATACACACACACACACAATTTCCAAATGTTAAAAATTACCCAGTTAGAAAACTTCTTATTGCTTATTTGCACTAATACCAAATCTGACAGAAAAGTTTAAAGAAGTGGCAACTTTAATGTAAATTTTTATTCCACAGAAATTGCTGGGCACAATTAAAGACAAAATTTGACTTGAGTTTATGGGTGTAGAGGAAAGAACTCCATATACAGGTCACATTCAACACTGCATTTGCCAAAATCAGGAAACTATTTAAATATTTTGGATGCACTACCTGAGAGGCAGTTAATGTTTTTTCCCCATCAGTTAGTAAGAAAACATTTGGGATAACTGTTACACATATAATATCTTGTACACTATAAAATGTGAGTCCATTATCTTTAGGAAAGTAAAACATGAAACTAAACACTGTTCCTTGGCTGTGAGAGTATTAATATTATTTTGGGAAGACATCATCTATGATATGGCATCTTTCTGACTAAAGTAAATTTACTCATCTAGTTCATCTCATTAGATGCTAAACCCTGCCCCGAAGTGTCTGAGGACCTCTTAGGTATGTTGAGATCTTCACTTGTGTACTCAAAAGGAGCAGACCTACCTGACAGATTACGAGTTCCCCAGTCTCAGACCTGAAGGATTTCTGAAATAATCCCTGAGCCTCTTGTTTCATGGGTGAGGAGGAAATTTATTCAGTGACATCCCTGCAAGCTGTGGGACTCGAAGCCAGTGCTGTATGGATTGCAAATGGCTAGGGAGAGGACACTGTGCAAAGACAGCTTGTTCTGCTTTTAAATTTCCAGGCCTCGCTCCCAGAACTCCTGCTTTCTTTGATCTGTAAAAGTGCCTCTATCCCAAGGGCTCTGTCTGGCTCTCTGACCTTCTATTTGCTGCTTACAATTTTGCTACCTGTCAAATGGGCCCAAATGGACTGCTGAACCATTCCCTGCTCTGTTTTGGATGCCTGCTAGACCACTCAATCCTTCTAGAAACCAGAGAGCCAGGCCGGCCCTTGTCTACCCCACTCTCCCTGGCTGTGCCTCACGCTGCAGTGTATAGAAGTTACTCATTTCAAAAGCTAGGAAAGTTACAATTTACCTGTCAGTAAACAGAAGATGGTTTATCAACAGACTTTACCTTAATGACTACAAATGTTTACCTCCTGCTTTCCAGAATGCAAAGAAAATCTTGGAAATGTCATAATATCTTACAAACATTTGCAAAACAGATCCTTGTTCATCCAGAAAAGAAACAATTGTATTCGTTGTCTCTGACATAAAACAATTGTTCGGTGAGAATAACAGAGATCGATGTACACACTTACACGTAAATTAGGTATGTCAATTAAAAATTTCAGTGGGTACTTTATTAAAAATTTATTTTACAATCTAGCCTTTCAAAACATCTTTACATCAACAAATACAGCAGCTTGACTATTGGAATCAAAGCGATTTATCTTGAAAAGATTATATTTGGAGCTGGTTGCAAATATTTTCAAGGAATATTTATACCAAAATTACTGGTTTGTTAGAGGTATTTTGATTTCTCTATTTTTACACCTGGAAAAAAATTAAGACAAGTATCTCAGTGTTCATTTTATGGGCAAGATGGCCCCACTTAGTGTATTTCCCATGTTTGTCCGATTTACAGCTGTTTATCTTGCAACTTTAAGATAAATTAAATGCAAATGTAACTCTGTGACTCATGGGAATACCTGCCAGACCCCTTATTAATACCTTCACTTAAAACCTCCTGTGCCAGAGAGTCATTAATTTGCTAAGAGGGTAGTGCTAAGCAGCCCTCTGCCCACAAACCGTTCTGAGATTGCTGCCCAATTAATCGGGCAATGCTCAGAGGCTCCTTCCAGGCCCCGTGGCCCTTTGAGGGCACAGGGAGGCTCCGGCGGCAACCTGGCAACCTAGGTAGAAACCCAGCCAAGTGCAAGCGTTTGAAGCTGTAGTTTGGCTGCCGTCATGTCGGCAAAAAGAAAGAATTCAGGCACCATGTCATCCAGTACAAAGGATAAAAACGGATTCCACCGGAAACGCAATGTGGCACCACATATGGGATACATGAGTGCAGTTATACAACAGGCCACATATTTTTTTTTTGAACAGTCTCCTCCATGTGATGCTGAGGACATGTGTAACCATCACAGCGTCTCTAGGAATCTGTATTTAATTTGAGTTGGGCTGGTGGCAGGGATTGGAGATCTGAAGCCGCCACAGGTTTGTGGCAGATGGCTCTGTGTCAGCTATGACAAGCAGCCAGGCTCAGCTTCCTCTGCAGATTTTCTTTTCTCTCTGATCAGGTAAATATGGGCACACTCTGGAAAGTTCTACAGATTCTGCCTTAGGCTGCAAGTTTGTGACTTAGCCCCATCTGTCACAAATCTTCCCTAGGTTCTGCTGTGAGCAGAGACCTGAATTTACCACGTAGGGCTGCCCAAGAAAAAGGAGTCATCTCACCCTGTAAGGGGGAGGGAGAGAAGAGAAAGCAAGGAAGAAGCATTAGCCACGGAAAAACTAAAGTATGCTGAAAATTCATACTGCAGATTTGCATAACTTACGTCAATTAGATTTCAAAAAGCCACCAAGTAAATGGTTCTCAAGTTTCATCACCTCAGGAAATCCCAGATTCTGATTGGCTTAACGTGTAACTGTGTTTCCACCGTAGGGAAAAGCTTCCGATATTTTGAGAATGGGTACATTCTGCTGTACACACATTTCCTGGTTTATGCTATGGATGACAGCTATTAGAAATCTGTCATCCAACTTTTAACTTTTATAAACACAAGATACACAACACTCTTTAATACATGTTTTGCTAAATGTATGTTACTTTTAAGTGGTGAAGGTACAAGAGAAATGCCATTACTATTACGTGGAATTTATAAACCACTTCAAGTCTACAAATGGGTTTATATTCATTATTTCATTATACCAGTACCTCATGGGAGAATGCTATTAAGAATTAAGAAAAAAAAAATTCTTACAAGTTTATAGCTGAATCATATAGAGGCCAAGAGGTTCACCTAGAGCCAGGCTGCAAATGAGTAGCAGAGGACAAGAAGCCAAACCTCTAACTGATCTTAATCACTTAAAGTATATCTAGTGTGCTAAAAGTTTTTTGCTAGTATTTTATTTAGACAAGTTAAAGGAAAACCAAGCCAAATAAAATCAAAGAAGGAAATGAAGAAGGTGAGAGGGAAGAGGCGGGAGGAGAGAGGGAGGGAGAGAGACTCAGACTGAAAATCTGCCTTATATTGTGTTGGTACAGTTGAGAGATTTTAAGAAATTTTTTAAATGTTACAGTGATGACTTTGGGGAAGCAACACTTTATTGACATCTAGAGTATAAGGCAAATTAAAAGGGGACTGTAAAGTGACCAGTCTCTTGAAGGAAACTTGAAGTGGCTTGGCTGTGGTTCGGGCAGATACAGCCTGATACAATTAAGACAAACACAAATGGCTTTTCTGGCCACTGAGTCTGAATTGTAAGCTTAATCAGTGTTTGGAAGCACTTTTAGGCAGAAATATGAAAATTCTTCTCTCCTCCAAATAACAGCAGGTTCTAAAGGTTCGTAGGACGTTGAAGAACTTGAAGAGGAGAACAAAATGAAAACCAGCAGGTACATTTGAAAAATCTTAAGGAACTATACAGGTCACTCTCATAAAACACAAGAAAAAAATAGTATATTTTTCGCACAGAAATTGTTTAATCTGTAAATAAAAGTGAATGTGAGATAGGACAGGGATGAAAATCTTGATGGGTGGTATCTACTTTATGGAACTGCCTCATTTGTGCTACTGAGCTATTGTCAATATTGGTGGAGGGAATGTTCATACATTTTTTTCAAAGGTGCTCTGAAAGCATAAACTACTGAACTCAAATAGTTGCTGGGAATTTTTCAGTAAGTAAATTCACGTAGTAAAAATGACACAAAAAATGACAGCTTCATGGGATTCGACTTGCTTGAGGTGGGAAAGGAAGAATTATTGCTAGTGTAAGAAGTCAAGCCTTGGCTAATTATTTTATGATGACTGCTAGAATCTTGTGTTCAAGGTTGGTTTGGGAGTCACAAAAGAGCCCCCAGTTGGGGATGAAGTGAAACCTGCTTTATCGGTGTGACAAATATGTGGCCAATGTGTCTAACCTACTTACAAGAGGAAATGGCCTGATAGTACAGGAAAGCTGCAGGCAATGATTAGACCTAGAAGTAAACTTTTTAAAGAAATGGTTTTACATTTTTTAAATTAAGAAAATGGTTTTGGATTTTTAAAATGATTAAGAAACGTTTAATTTCTGCATGCATTAGAAATCACTGAAGATCTTGAGAAAAATGTGTGTGTGTGGAGAGAGGAGAGAGGGAGGGAGGGGGGAAGGGAAGAGAGAGAAACAGACAGAAAGCGAGGGAGAGGACATACTTGCGTGCCTGTGAGGGATTTAAACATTTCAAGTCAAACTATTTCAGGTGAGAAGTGAGCACAGTATTCTGCAGTGGAGAGTCACTTTAAGAAAAAAAAAAAGTATCAAATTCTGTTTCTGCTTTTCAGCAGAAGTTACTAGCATTCTGTTTCAAATCCTGCTTCAAGTTAGAGCCCCCAAACTCTCACTCATGTTGAAAGTATAATGTCTCATGTGAGAAGAAAGCCAAGTGTTAGTAGCCTTATTCTAGTCATTAAATTTCTAAGTGTGAATCCATATGAAAAATCCTATCCTAAAGTGAACTCTATGTGATAAGCAGCTGAGATGATTTTAAAATGTAAACTTTTAACAAAAAAAAGAGAGTAAGGTGTAAAAATGTAAAAGGAGCAAATTAAAGAATTCAGTGACATTCTATCCCTTTAGATCTTAGAAGCATATGTTTTATAAAAGCAAAACAGTACTGTCCAATAGAAATAAGACTAAAAAAAAAAAGAAAAAACCCAAATTCTTTTTGCAGTACACACAAAAGACACTTCCATTGCATAAGAAAAGTAGGTAAAGAGCTGCCTTGGGGGAAATGATTCTCTGGTATTTAGTGAAGGCAAATGTGACCTGCAAAATGTGTGTATTAATAAAACATAAGGTGGAAAAATATCATAACTTACTTGTATCTTAATTATAAAGTTTTAGAAGGCATTCTTTTTCCTTTTGGCTCTAAATCCTATTACAACAACAAACTAAATTTCTGGTCCCTTCTGTGATTTTTAGTGGTTTCTCCTGACAGTTGCATCATAAAGCTCTTGGTCACTTATAATTCTTAGACCAATTTATTAACTCTTAGAATTGATTTGTAGATACAGTATTAATCAAGATCTATGAATGAGGACATACATGAAAGTGTATAATAGATTTAGAAGGAAAAAAACCTGTGGTACAAAATACATAAAAATCAATTATATATGTACATTCATATAAGTGCTTATGCATAAAATACTAATTTATAGAACTTTGAGATGGAGCATTCAAGTATTATAGGGTAAAGATGTATGCAAAAAGTAGTAACATGAAATAACATTTAAGGATAGGTTATTTTTGAAGCTGCATGAGGAACAATTTGGTCTATTAACAGCATACCACTAAGCTGGCATTCTTTCAGAGTTTTTCCAGAAGTTGTTTGTAAAATAAATAATTATAGCTATGTCATGGCAGTAGCTGTATTAAAATATTTGAACTGCAGATCTGTTTTCTTTTGTAACCAAAGGCAACTTGTGGCAGTAACTTTTGAAATGGTTAAAAAGTTGCAGATGCAAAATAACAGGGATAATAAGACTTAACCTAAAGCAAGTGAAAAACTCATAAATTTTGTTGGTGGACATATAAATACTTCACCACCCTCATCACAAGGAAAAACATTTTCTCTCTTTTTTTGTATCTGTGTGAGATCATGGATGGTAACTAAACTTGTGCTGGTGACCATTTTCCAATATATGAAAGTCAAGTCATTATGCTGTGCACCTTAAATCTACATAGTGCTGTATGTCAATTGTATCTTTAAAAAACTGAGAAGGAAAACTTCATCAAAAATTCACCCGAAGGAAAACAAGTCAATTATCTGATGGTGAACTCACTGAAAACTGCTTTGTGTCATATATAGAAAAGGAATCCACTTGTATTAATACTTACTACTCTATTTCTTCAGCTTTCATAACCCACACATTTTGATAGTCTGTCATGTGGGAAACGATTTGATTAATGTTTTATACAAACAAGACCACTGCTGAACTTGAAAAATTAAGAAATCTGGACGTAAACCTTGGAAGACTGTTTCCTCTGTGAAGCTTCCCATGTCTACGATACAGTTCGTATTGACTCAGGGAGTGATACTGAAGCCGGGAACTGTTCAGTCAGCATTTTAAACTATTATGAGCTACCTTCTGAACCATTGCCAAGTTAATAGACAATGAAAGATAATGAGCTTGAAATTGGGTGTTAAATTGCATTTTTGGTTCTCTCCCTTTTTCTCGAAGTTTAACTGTTTCCTGCAGAAACAAAGTCATGTTTTGATGTATTGCTATGTAAATATGCATTTTAGGCCATGAAAAGGGAAAGAAGAGAAGAAAAGCAGCAAACTATATTTCATATAGGAAGGTTATATATTAACATAGGAAAAGTAAAATACGCTGGATTGTAAAACTGCTAGATTGTAAACTATACTGAATTTATGTAAAATGAAGATGCTACATTCAAAGAATATAAAAAGGTATATTACTCATGGCCTAGAGCCACCTTCAGAACTCATAAAGCAGATTTATCCTAGTTCAATTACTTAGACTTTTAGTAGGGCCTCTTTGTGTTGTTACTGCAATAATGTAAAATTCTTGATTCAAACAAGGGGAAAAAGATGATGAATGCAGGGGTTGAATGTTGATGCTCTTTAAACTATTTTCCTTTTGCCTTTGCCATTCAGAGGACGCTGACAGTCTAATTCTAAACCAACTGTGGATTTTTATGCCATTTTATTAAACTGGACAAGAGAAACATTTGATTCTTAGAAATCATCTTTGAAGGTGTTGAAAAATGAATGCCAAACTTCGAACATGTCATTCACCTGAATTTTGGGGACTGAAAGATTTCATTATGATGGGCAGACAAGCTTATCCTCATTAGTATAATTGTAGAATCTTTCCTTTACTTCCTTGTAAACTAATGAGTTACATTAATCCAGGTTCATCTTTATCAGCCTCTTGGGGCTAAATGTAAAGGACAGTCATCTTAGAAAACAATAAATTAAAAAAAAAAGCATGTACAGTGCATTAAGTGCACGTATTTCATAAGACCTAGGTTAATACAACTGGCATCCAGTTTAATTAATCCTTGTTAGTGTAACAACTAATATCCCTCCCTAGCATGTTTCCTTTAAACATTAGTATGTTAATTAAATGTTGTTTTTTTTTTAAAGATTTTTCTTTGTACTTCAATATGGCATTTATACCACGTAAATCTCTTCTCAGTATCTACCTTATAGAGATGTCTTCTTATAATGTCTGGTCTCTTGCAGAAATTCTGGAGCCTTTTTGAAAGCTGTTCAGGTGTAGAATACAGATATTCAGCTGCAGGAAAAACAGATACATTTTTAATGAAACAAAAACCTCAAAGCACACACTCGATATTAGTCACTTTACTAATTAAAAATGCATATTGCTCTGCGCTGCCTCAAGTTTTACATTATTTAAGCATGATTTTATAAGGTTACCTCAGCTCACAAGGATGTTTAATGCTAAATAAGACTGTGTAGTTGTGCTGTTTAGACATCTCCTTTGGGTGATTAAAATACATTATTCTAATGTAACACAATGCATATGTGATATATTTAGTGATGAGAATTTTTTCAAAGAACCGGTACTATAGCTGTATGTACCCTGTACAACAGTTGCATATTATTAACTAGTCAATTGTTTAAATAATTTGGTGTGGCTTTCAGTCCTTGATTTTTCTCTGTGTATATCATTAAAAAAAAAAATCTGTAAGCAATTGCAGCAACATTGACCTGCTTATAAAAATCCATTATTATGGGATGTGTATGCTAACAATGAAGAATGCTATTTGAAAACTTGATTTTTTGTTATCTTAAAAGAACAGATGGTAAATATAAGCTTACTCTAATGTATTAAAACACATAAAATTTTCCTTAACACTAACATGTTGACTTGCCAAATAAACAATTGTTCCTGCCTTAGTTTATTTTCAAACTTTCTAATTTAGCATGAATCATGTATTAAATCTCAACAAAGATGAACGTACATTTTAAAGCAGCTACCTGGAAATATTTCAGGATAAACCAGATCATTGGGACAAAGTGGGTAACAACCACAATACACAGCTTCCAACCTGGAGAAATTTTAGAAAAAGGATAAAAATAGATTAAGAAGACATTACTATCATAGTCAGAAAGTGGTTTTGTTTGCCTAAGTTAACAGCACGAGCCCAGAGTTAACTGGGATGAAAAACATGGTCGGCAGTGCAAACCTAAAAGCCAACGTTGCTCTTTTAAAAGATTTTATTGATCATATATGAATTTCATAGAACAGAACTATCAGCATATGTTTTGTTCACTGAATTAATCAAAGCGCAGTTCTGCCTTTTTTTTTTGTTTTTAAAATACTGTTTAACACATTTTATAATCAGCAGATAAACACATGTAACAACATGGTAAAGTATGGACAGCTTTTCTTAATAATGCTGCAAAGCCTCAGAATGTTCATTTTTTAAAAATGTTTAAATAAAATAGCAAATACTTTAACACTGTGGCCGTATAAATGATCGAGGCACTTTGAAAAGCATCAGAAAAAATTTTACAGTCTGTTGTGATGGGGCATTTTCATTTTAGGCTCATGCTTCAAAATAATCTGTTATTATGCAGAATGTAGAACTATTCCCCTTTTGATTGTAAAACTCCGCTGATGATTACCCTAATGAATATTTTGTTTTCTTGAGTAAAAAGTCAGCTCACTTTCCATTTTATCAGAAAAGAATACTTTTATTTGTTAAACAAAGAAACAAGAAAGTTTCACTTTGTGAGGATTTCCCCAAAGACCACCTAATTTCCCCAAAGACCACCTATAGAAGTTTTTCTTCTTGTCAAAGTGGTAAGGGTTAAGCAGAGGGAAGGTATTGCATCTCGATGGTTGTTAGCCCTGCAAAATGGCTATTGATCTGACATATAATATAAACCTTAAAGATACCGCTGTAATTTCTGTTGGCTGGGAATTATGCAGTGAAATTCAAAACACTCTTTAAAATATGTTTATTTTATGAGAAACTTTGAATTGCATCCAAAATGTTGACCAAAGGCAGAATTTTATTTTGAACTGCAGATTTTTTTCAACCCAAGAATAATTTGAAGTTATGTCAATGTTTACCTTGTTTGTTTACAGTGACAAAGTACATGCAATTTAAGCTGTTTTTAAGTGGGTGATGTTTTCCCTATTTTATTATGTTAACTGAAATTAAATGAAAAGTATGTACTTGGAGCTGCAAAGTTTGGAAAAAATACTGAGTTCAAAGTTTTGCTTGAGAACTGATAGAAGTTCTGAGACAGCACAGTGGAAAGCCACAGGCTCTTGTTACCAATTATTAATTTCAAAATCCAAACTAAAACTTAATATTTTTTTTCTCTTCACACAAAGGGTATGCAGAGAAATTCTTATTGTAAGCACAGCTATAAACTATACTGTGACTGCATTATAAAACATTCACAAAAGTTTTGAGCACATAAACCAGTGATATCCTTTATGAAACAAAAGAAAATATGCACTTTATCTGAAGACACTCAGTTTTAAAACGCTGGGCCAACTGAAAAGCAAATAGATAAGAACATTTTCTTAAAATTCCATAAAATTGAGAATGAAGTCACAGGCATTTCGGGAAGTACAGACGTTATCTGCTTTTTAATAATGGCTTTGCATTAGAGTGTTCTGTTCCCCGAAAGAAAACTGCAGGCCAAGTTACATTTTGAGTCATTGTATGAGCATGTACCATACCTTTTCTAAAAAACCTCTGCTAATCAAAATACAGTGAGATAGGAATGGCATTGTTTGACTTAAGAAGAAAAAATTTATAAATTTTGGATTTCAACTTTTATTTGTAAATTATCTTAGTTCTGGTTATATTTCTAATTCATCAACAGGAAAAACAACCATTATTTTTGGTAAAATTTTGACTTATCATATGAATAAGTCAAAATATGAAACATTATTATATATATATTACCTAGATTAGAACTATGTTTTAAAATATATTAAACAGGCCCTAATATTTTAAAAGAAATTCATAAAATTCATTCTCCTAAGTTTCTTCTATTTTGTTATTTTGAAAAGAAATTATCATCTCATGACAATAATACAATTATTCATCATTT